CCTATGCCCTTCAACCCAAAGATTAGAAACGAGGCTGGAAAGGACAAGCATCTCCACTTTGTGGTCTCACTCAGTGTTATCCATGAAAAGCATCTCACATGGCTGGGTTAGAAGTCTCAGGACTTGTGGCTAGAGGAGGGACATCATAGGTATACACTTCTAGGAACTCCAAGGTGGAAATGGTCCTTGAAGCTATTTTGAAGTGGTTTCTTGGCATATATAACCCCACTGGATACAAATGTAACAGTGGATATGATAGTCAAAAACTTGGTTTATTAGTCTTCATTCTCAGATCCTCCATCTTGGATGGGAGAGTCCTGTACTTTCCATCTGCCCACGGGAAAAACACATTTGTCTTTCTGTAATCTTAACCCCCTTCTTTGATAGATGATATTTAGTTATGAACTACTGATAACTTCCTATCTGAATGTAAGTTATATTTAGCAAGTTTATCTAAAACCCCAGAACAGACATTGTAGTTATCTCCAAATATTCATTCTATGCATTTCCCACTGGAAAAAAAGACACATAGTTTGGGAAGGTGGACCTCACATCCAGGACCCACACTCCTGGTGAGTTGTGCTGAGGTTTCCCAGTCTTTCACTTTTCCTCTTGGCTAAGCACACAGGTTCAGGTGTTGGAGAGTTTGAGTTCTAATCCTAGTTCTGCCACTTACTCTCTCTGGGCTTTTTTTTTTTTTTTCCTACATCCTATCTGACTGGGTATAATAACAGTATCCACTTTACAGGCATGTTGTGAGGATTAAATGAGATAATCTACAAATAGTGGATGCTCAAACAATGGCAGGGCATTGGAATACAGCAGGGCTCAACTGAAGGCAGCAAGTGCCAACATTGTACTTGTGGTAAAAAGGTTATGAAAAGAGTGAGTTCTTGCATTCTAAAACCAGAAAACCTCGGAAAGTAACAATCCACAGGTTTTCAAGTTGAGTGGGAAAGAGAGAGCATGAACGAGTCAATAGCTGGGCTATTATGGAATAATAGTGGGACATGAAGAACACAAGCTTATGCACATTTCTAATTACTCTCCCAACCTCTAATTATCTGAGGAGGCCATAACAAAGTCTTAAGTCAAAAATCATAGAAATTTGGAAGTATCAAGTGCAAACCTCTAATTTCACAGATGGAAAAAATGGAGGTCCAGCAAGGTAAAATGACTTGCCCAAAATCATGCAATTTGTTTGTGGTAGAAGTAGTGATGCATTAAGATCTCATGACAGCCAACACCAGTATTTTTTACCCATCAACCAAAGGAATATAATTAGCTCTATTTTATTTCTCCTGATGAATTTTTTAAAATTGATTTTTATAACTGGTTTTGATTATGATGCTATCATAAATATATTCAAAGTGTCATGACCTGCAGGTCAACCTTACACACAAACTCCTGTTTAAGTTTTTACCAGAGGAGGTCAATATGGCCCCACAAATTCCTTTCCAACAGGGAGAAGACCAGAAAGCAAATATCATTATGCTAAAATTATCAAACCATTGAATCATCAAATAGAATGTACTTATATTAGAGCATCAATCTATACATAAAATAGAACACAGCACGAAACACAAACTTGGTACAGACAGATCGAGGAAGATTATGATGAACAAAACTGCTTCAAGCTAAACCAGGAGAACGAAAGGTGCTCTCACCACTCCGAATTTATCATTTTGACCCTTACAGCTGTCATGAGACCTGAGACACAATGACATACATTTCGACTCTCTTCAACTTAGGAGCTATGTGACTGGAGCCAGTTACTTAAACTCTCATGGCTCCAGATTTTGCTTCTATAAACAGGAGATAGAAACATCTGACTCACCGGGTTTTTTCATGAAGCATTAGAGAGAAATTATTGACAATGCCCAGTAGTGTGTCCAGTCCATGGCATTTGGCACTGCCTCTCCCAATCCAGGTATACCCAAAGATACTCATTTTCTGAAAAGCCAGTAATTATCTGTTATGCAGCAGGTCTTTCCTAATTGGGCTCTTGTTTTGTTTTGTTTTAATGATTTTCCAAATTAAATAGAGAGCAAGAAGCTGGTTTAGATTACAGAGTCACCACAAAATAGCTGAGGTTGTAGATGTGACCTATTTTTAAGCCGCCACAGCATAATTGGGAATATTTTCTTTGCCTTGGTAAGGAGCCAGAGTTGGAAGCTTCCTTTCTGCTTTGTGGGTCAGACCAACCAAGGCAGACTATTTGACAACTTTGAGGCCCTGACCCAAGCCTAGGAGCTTCCTCCACCTTCCTGGGCCCCTCCCCAGAAGACTTGTTCAGTACACTGCCCAGCATCATTGACATGTCCTCTACTTACAATTAAAGCTCCAACCAAGGTGATCATCAGTGTGTTTATAATGCCATTGCAGCAATCTCTAATGCCATCTGTTGGTGGTGGGTAGAGATGATATGCTCCTGGTCTAGAGTATGGTTTTCTTGAATGCTATGCTTTATGGCGGATCATCCCTTAAGATGGTCACTAACTCACCTTACAAGAAATACTAAAGGAAGTTCATTAGACTGAAAGAAAGCATTCCCAGGTGGTAATTCAAATCCACACCAAAAAATAAAATACACACCAGTTAAGGTAATTACGTAATTATAAAAGATGGTACAAATTCTTGTTTCTTTTACTTTCTTTTCTTAACTAATTTAAAAGGCAACTGTACCAAAAATACATACATAATTATATTGCTAGGCCTATAATATATAGAAGTATAAAGGGTTTGAAAGTAAAGAAAATCAGTGAATCAAAAGACAAGTCAATTACAATACTTCCTTCCCTGTACACACACACCGTTTCTCGCATCAAGAGATGGGAGTCTATTTCTCTTCTCTCTGAATGTGGAAGTGCTTTGTAACTTGCACCGACCAAACAAATGTAGCAGAAATGGTCATCAAAGAGGCTATCTTGGTACACAGGTCTGGCCTAGCCTGCTGTGACAGAGGCCTCAAGGAAAGTCCTAGAGGAAGAGAGGACACAAGGTGAAGAACAAGGGCTTCCCAATGTTAGCCAGCACTGAAACCTCCAACATGTGAGACAAGATGGTGAAGTCTTACAGCCCAGCCCAGTCACCAGGTGAATGAAACTTCATGAGGTCTCCCAGCCAACACCATGTGGAGCAAAAGACCATGCAGCCCACTGACAGAGTTGTAAGAAAAAATACATGGCTGTGTTAAGCCGCTAAGTGATAACTGAAAACAGTTTTGGGGTTTAGAGCTCCTAAGTAGAGAAACTGAGTATATAATACATTTTGACTGAAGCTCAATCTCATTCATCTATAACACTGAAGACAGAAGACACCTGACCTTCTGGTCCTAGGGTTTTCAACCTCCCATAGATGAAACTAGATGAAAGCTGAGCTTCTCTGCTTGAAGTGGAGCTGGTAGTGGGAAGACACTCAGAAACCCACCTCTTCAGCCTCTCTGCCTCTCTGAGATTTCTCACTGCCAAAACTTTGAGTGACCAAACATCATTAACACCATTTGAAGATCTGTAATTTAACACTGTGATTTTATAGAAAACACACAGAAGAAAGGGGGTTACTCATGTCAACTTACTAGCTGACTTATAATCAGTCAGGTCTCCAGAGGCTTACTTTAGTACGTCATGCTCAATACCAGGGTTTCCCTGAAAACTACTTCATCTTGTGCTCACTATGGGGACCTTTCTCACTATGACAGGCTAGATAGAGAGCAGAGTTATGACACAGACTCTGGAGCCACATTCCCTTTCTAGCTTTGTGACCTTGACTTCTCCCAGCAGCAGAGACCAAAACTGAGTTCCCAATATGGCACCATTCCCTGGGTGCATGTTGATTACACTGGACCACTTCCATCACGGAAGGGGCAGCATTTTGCTCTTACTGGAACAGACACTTAATCTAAATATGAATTCGCCTTCCCAGCAGTCAAAAATTCTGCCAAAACCACCGTTGGTGGACTTACAGAATGCCTCATCCACATTCATGCCATTCCACACAGCATTGCTCTGACCAAGGAACTTGCTTCACAGCGAATGAACTGGCTATGGATCCACACTTGTGAAATTTACTTGTCCTGCCATGTTCCCCACCATCCTGAAGTGGGTGGCTTGATAGACTGGTGGAATGATCTGATGTCTCATTCACAGTGTCATTTAAGTGGCAATCCCTGCAGGGCAGGGGCAAGATTCTCCAAGAAGCTATATATGCTCTGATTCAGTGCCCCATAGCCAACATTTCTCCCATAGTCAAGAAATTGATGGATCCAGGAATCAAAAGTGACTTCACTAGTAAATAGCTCTAATGATCCACTAACAAATTTTGCTTCTTACTCCTGGAAGCTTTCTTCTGCAAATCTATAGATCTTAGTTCCAAAGGAATCCTTTACCAGAAGCCATGACAGTGATTCCATTGAACAGGAAGTTAAGATTGCCACCCAACCACTTTGCACTCCTCATGATTCTGAATTAGCAGGCAAAGAAGAGAGTTATCACACTGGCTAGAGTGACTGATTCTGATTATCAAGGGGAAACTGGATGACTACTCCCACTGGAGGTAAAGAAGAGTACATCTGAAATACAGAAGGGTTCTTAGGGTGTCTCTTGGTATGTACTCTTTGCTTTGTGGTTAAAATCAATAGAAAATCACAACAACTTAATTGAAGTGGGGCTACTTAGGGCCAAGAATCTTCAGGAATGAAGGTTTGGGTCAGATTACCAGGTAAAGGTGAGGACAGAGAAGTACCTGTTCTTTGTCCAGAGGTGAGGACAAAGAACAGGTAGTAGAGGAAAGTAGTTATAAACACCAGCAAAGATCATGAGATCGGTTTCAGAAACAGGTTGATGTCATCAGTGTTTTCTCATTTTGTTACAAATGTGAATCTGTGTGTATTAAGCAAGTAACTTTCTCTTCCCTCTCTTATTCCCTTAACTAATTGTTTTGGAAACAGAAGTCCATGTGCCCAATGGACAGTGAGGCCAAACTATACCAAAACATCAGAGTCTGGAAGAAAGTTTTATTGAGAGCTGCGGAAGGAGATGGGTGTTTCATGCCTTTGAGACCTCACACTCCTTGTAAGCTTTCAGCAAAGCCCTTCCCTAGGAAAGGTGAGGGAGGGGCATGGTGAGTTGTTGCAAACGTCTTGGTGTCAGAGGTCTTGTTCTTCAGGTCAGGTCATGGTCAGGTAATGAGGTTCGAATAAATCTCCACCAAACAGATTGTTACTCTTTATTCTGACAAGAAAGTGCAAGGTCCCCAGGAACAGCTTTCACCCTCTGAGGTCCAGGTCCTGACTGAGAGGAGGCAGGTCTCAGTGGCAGCTCCTCAGGGTCACCTCCACCCAGCTGTCATTGCTGAGGGAGCCAGGCATTCAAGAGGCAGCTGGCCCTCAGGCTCCTCAGGCCACACACACAGAAGGGGCAGGTCCCTCAGACCGCATTATACACAGATGGCTGCTGTCATTAGGTTGCCAAGGTGGGGATGGGGGAGAGGTTCACTGCCACTTCAGGACCTGAAACTGGCCAGTGAGCAGACATGGCGAGGGCTCTGGAGCCCTGCAGGTTCCAGCCTATTCCCTGGGGCCCCCAGCTCACCTACTGGCATGGCTGAGGGAGCTGAAGAGCCCTGAGGAGAAAGCCAGGATCCAACTCTTACCTCGCTCTCCGCCTGAGGACCACCACTCCACTGACTGTTGGCTGAATAGCCACTAAGGGTCGCCTTTTGATAGCTGGTCACTTGGGGGAGGGGCCCACTGCAGCACCAACCAATAGCTGAGCAGATCCACTAACGGTCCTCCTCTGACAGTTGCTCACTTGGGGCAGGGGCCCACTGCAGCACCAACCAATAGCTGAGCAGATCCACTAACGGTCCTCCTCTGACAGTTGCTCACTTGGGGCAGGGGCCCACTGCAGCACCAACCAATAGCTGAGCAGATCCACTAACGGTCCTCCTCTGACAGTTGCTCACTTGGGGCAGGGGCCCACTGCAGCACCAACCAATAGCTGAGCAGATCCACTAACGGTCCTCCTCTGACAGTTGCTCACTTGGGGCAGGGGCCCACTGCAGCACCAACCAATAGCTGAGCAGATCCACTAACGGTCCTCCTCTGACAGTTGCTCACTTGGGGCAGGGGCCCACTGCAGCACCAACCAATAGCTGAGCAGATCCACTAACGGTCCTCCTCTGACAGTTGCTCACTTGGGGCAGGGGCCCACTGCAGNCTCTGCATGTAAGTTAAATAAGCAGGGTGAAAATATACAGCCTTGACCTACTCCTTTCCCAATTTGGAATCAGTCTGTTGTTCCATGTCCGCTTCTAACTGTTACTTCCTGACCTGCATACAGATTTCTCAGGAGGCAGGTCAGGTGGTCTGGTATTCCCATCTCTTTAAGAATTTTCCACAGTTTGTTGTGATCTACACAATCAAAGGCTTTGGCCTTTGTATCTTTGCATGACATCTCAATTTTCCTTTGAACTATGACATCAATTTCTACTCATAGAACACTGTAAATCACATTATAGGTATGACTCTCCCTTAACTAAAATGTTAAGACTTTAAGGGCAAAAACTGTTTGCATTAATCTTTATATTCCCTTAACAAATTACAGATGATCAATAAATATTTGAATGAATAAATGAATGGATGGATGAAACAATTCTGCCCTAAAGCATCCAAAATATCAACTTGTTCTTAGCTCATGTCACATTAGTCTGATCAGTTCTGTCAATGGAACTGATAGCTAACCTGAGGTTAAGCTAAAAGAGAGATTAGATGCAACTATTTCAGGGATGAGTCACTTATAGACTCATTAACAATTTTGTCACTCTTTAGCTCACACTGATTAGCTCAAATTTCCCCAAAGTTCTTAATCATAATACAGAAAGAATTTCTTCCAGTTACTACAGTCTCAGCTGTCCTCAGGCTGAAGCTGCTTAAGAACTAGGAGGGCAAGAAATATGAACAGCTCTTAAGATTTCATGAGTTCTCAAAACTAAAGGGCCAGAAAGAAGACAGAGCCCAATAAACTTCAGTCCATCTTTCTTTTTCAACTTGACACTGTGGAAACCACATGGTGAGCACTTAACTAGGTTACCTATTCTTAGTAGCAAGTTCTGTCTTCCAATTTTAGCATATTTATTAAATCAGTACAGACCAGAAGACAAGCAGTATATCCAGAATAATCAACATATAGTTGGGCTATATAAGAACAATTGCTGGAATTTCAACAGAAATAGTCTTTCAATTATCATTATAATTAATAATAATAATATAGGTAATTTTCTAACTAGCTAGGATGAAATCACTCAACACTGAAATTGACACATAATCTCAGTTAGAATTATAGGATCAACTTCTTAGCTGCTTGGGAATCTAACAGTTTTCTTACCACTTTCAGGAAATGAGCTTGAGGATTTAGAAAATTCGGTTCATAATGAGTCATAGAATTCCAGAGTCCCAAAAGGTCAAAACCAAGAAAAGCATCTATATTCAATTTCTTTATAAGACATTGGTATGTATTAGCATGAAAATGTTGAAAATATACTGTCAATGAAAACAATAAACTGCAAAACAATATATATAATATCAATTTTTATAAATTTGCTGACATTGATGTTTAGTTGCTAAGTCATGTTTGACTCTTTTGTGACCCCCTGGACTATGCCCGAGAGGCTCCTCTGCCCATAAGATTTCCCAGGCAAGAAGACTGGAGTGGGTTGCCATTTCCTTTTCCAGGGCATCTTCCCAACCCAGGGATCAAACCCACATCTCCTGCATTGGCAGGCAGATTCTTTACCACTGAACCACCAGAGAAGCCCTTATAAATATAATGAACACCAAAAAAATATACCTTTTCTGGAAAAAGCTATGTTCTAAAAAATAAAAATAGATACAAATATTCTGGATAAATCCAGAAGAATTTAAAAATACTAATAGTGATTATTTTTGAGGGAATAAAGTTTACAGTGATTACAATAAGAGCTCACCTTATTTCCCCTTTCTGTATATATGCTGCTTAAAATGTGACTTTGCAACCAAAATGTGGAGTCAATTTCTCCTCTCCTTAAATCTTGGCTGGCCATGAGTCTGCTTTGGCCAATGGAAGAAGCAGGAAAAAAGGAATGTCAGTTACAAATCCAGGCCTCAAAAAGCTTCCACTTGCTCTTATAGAGCCCTGCTCAGCCACCATGAGAACCAGCCTGCTGGTGATAAAAAAGACAGCCCAGACACCTCCGTTGCTCCAACTGACAGCCAGCTCCACCAGATTTACAAATGAGCCTATCCTAAACCAGTTACTCTAGCCAATATACTCGCTAACCACAGACAGATAAGCAAGTTCAGGTATGACCTACTAAGCTTGAACCGGATTAGCAGAACCACCCAACAAATATTTAAAGTCGTGAGCAATATAAACACTTAACTATTTCAAGCCACTGGATTCAGGTGAGATTTGTTATATAGTAATAGTTAACTGATATCCTGGTTGTTCAGATGGTAAAGAATCTGCCTGCAATGCAGGAGATCTGGGTTCGATCCCTGGGTGGGGAAGATCCCCTGGAGATGGGAATGGTTACCTACTCCAGTATTCTTGCTTGGAAGAAGGAGCCTGGCAGACTACAGTCCATGTGATCCTGAAGAGTTGGACATAACTGAGTGACTAACACATAATGGTTAAGTGAATACAACCTGATAATCCTTTCCTACAATGTTATAATTTTATAATCAGAAAAATGTATTGCTTTCTAAAGCAAAATTAAAAAAATTAAAGTATCTCATCTTCTAAAGAGAAGAACACTAAAGCCCTCAAGGAGTATTGCCCAATTGGCAAGAACTCTGGCTGCAAGTGGCAAAAATCTGACTCAAAATTTCAGCAAATCAGCTAACTTACTGATTCACAGGATTCTGAGGGCTTCAGTTTCAGTAACAGCTGAATTTAGATGATCAAAATATTTGTCTGAATATATTTTTCTCCTTTTTATATCTTCATTTCCTCTACTACTAGTAGAAGTAGTAGAAATTATTTTTCACTCTCAGACAGGTAATTCCAACAGTAAGAAGATGGGGGACTGGAGGGTTAGCAGCCTCCCAGGCAAAACAGAATTCTCCTTTCCCAGAAATTCTGGCAAATTTCAGGATTCACTTTAACTGGCCCAATTTGGGTCACATGCCCATCTCTCAAGCAATCACTGCTGTCCTTATCAGCCAGGCCTGTTCACATCACATACCTCATTCACAGGTTTGCACTGAATGGAAAAGTATAGTTGTTCAAAGGAAAATTGAGGCACCACTGCTCTAAAAAGAGTAAAGTGGGAGTTTGGCAGGGGGGAAAAAAAAAGACAGGCTTCTAATACCTAAGAGCACATAACTAATAAATGACCAGAGTGAAAAAGTGAAGTGAAAGTGTTAGTCACTCAGTCATGTCAGACTCTGCAACCCCAAGGATTGTAGCCCGCCAGGCTTCTCTGTCCATGGAATTCTCCAGGGAAGAATACTGGCGTGAGTAGCCATTCTCTTCCCCCGGGGATCTTCCCAACCCAGGGACGGAACCCGTGTTTCTCATATTGCAGGCGGATTCTTTGCCATTTTACCCACCAGGGAAAACCAGTAAGTGACCAAGTTGGAACTAACCCCCAGGTCTTCTGACTCCCAGCACAGCACTGGAAAACAACATTCCATACCCTGGAATATGGTCTATTCATCTCTGCCTTTACGCTCTTTCTCTATCTGCCAAGAAGTGTTAAAAAAAAAAAAAGAAAAGAAAAGAAACATTCTGCTGTGTGAAAACTCATGACAAAATGCCGTTTTCACAAGTTAAAATGAAGCAGCCATCATACATTTTAGGGAAGCAACAAAATTGCATTCCTTCCTTCCATAACTATCTTGTGGCCACCAACCACTATGTGCCTTAATCTTTGACTCTATCAGTAATTAAATGAAAAGCAATACATACATTCTAAAAGGAGGCTAAGTTTAATTATCACAACCAGTTTTTCAAACTCTCCCAAGTAAATTGTAAAAGATACCTTATCACAGCAGAAACATAGGGAGGCCATTGCTTGATACATGGGATAAAATGGGTCTGTGAAAATAAAATCCTGAAAGGAACTTTTACTATACTTAAGTAACCTCATGCTTTTCTGCTACAGTTTCAAAATACTGACATATTATCACATTTGTCATAATCTCTGATGGCAAAGCCTCCTAGCTCACTGTATAGAAAAAGAAAATTAAGACCCAGAGGGAGAAATCAGCATGTTACAGTTTCATTGTTTGACTAGATATGTCTCAACTCTGATCACCCAGGAGTGGAAAGGATTCTGACCTGCAAAGTGGAAGGCAGAGACACTTTTCTCTTCCACAAACTTTGACGTCACAAAGACAAAGCCCGAACATACTGGAGAACATTTGATATTCTCACCATCCTCAAATAAAACATCCTCCTTGTCTGATTCATTTGGTACTTAATCATGGACTGCCTTGTGATGCTTCTTTCCCTGGTTATTTTGAACTAGGAATTAAATCTTTATACTTAACATGTCTTATGTTTGCTTTGTCTCCCAGTTAGATACCGTGACTTGAGGGCAGGGTCTCTTTGATAAGCCAGTGAAGACCAGCTCCCTTTCTGCCATTTCCGGTCAAGTAGTACTAATTGGTAGGATGTTGGGAAGTTTAATGTCAGGGCTCTATGGGAAGGAGGGCTGAAGGCATTGGTCATGCCTGCCGTGGGTCTCATAGGGCAGGGGTGGGTGACCGCAAGTTAACTGCCTTGTCCCTCCATCAACCCAGCCCCCAGCTCCCCTTTCATTTGACACAAGAGCTTCTTGTTTTTCATGAAACACCAATCTATTTTCTTTATCCAGGATTCTAATCTTTGTATGGGTATAGATCAATAAAAGTTAGATCGCTACCCAATATATATGCAGGCAATTGTTTTAAAATAAATTTGTTTTCCTATCAGAATGTTATCATGTACTTTGTGTAGCAAATATATAAAATGAAGGGAAAATGACAATAATTATAAAAAGATAAAGAAAAAATGACTTTAATTACATCAACCAAAGATAACAACTGATGATATTTTTAGGGTGTCCCTTACTAACCAATTTATTTTTCTATTTGGATATGCCAAATTTGGTCTATGCCAGTATATATT